GCCTATGCGTGGTGAATGCGTAGAGTTGTACTCAGGTAGGAGCCAACAGGATTGGCAGAGCAGGCAGAGGTGAGCAGAAAGCTGCAATCTGGATATAGGTTTCCCTTCTTCAGTGGCAAAGAGAGACTCTTGCTGGCTGGCCAGTGGCCGGCCTCTCAGGCAGCGGGACATGGAGGATAAAGAACAAAGACAGAGTTAGTTTTGGAAATATTAGAAAAAAAAAAAGTGCGAGATTCAAAACTGTGGACTATTAAAGCACATACAATGGATATATTTAGGGCGTTGGGGCTACAGAGAAGGTGGTACAAAAGAGGTAAAGTGAGACCATGCAGAAGCGTATAAACTTTAATGCTGATTTTGCTTAACCAGCTCTCAAGTAGCTGTCCACAGAGAGCACTAAGGATTGCAAGGCTGCACTCAGACTAACACAGTCTGAATGAATGGCTTCACGAACAGCCGTTGGGATGCTTTGCCAGTGCCTTCCCCGGCTCAAGGACATTTGACAGAGTAGACAGCTTTGTTCTTTCCCGTTTTACCAGGTGGGTGCGTCATGGGCATGCTGATTTCAGATGCCCGTCCCTGGAGTAACTTGGCTTCTCCGAGTAGTAGGCTTAGAGAGGCTTGGGTGGTTGGCCTGTAGCCACAGTTTTAGGGCACCGATTAGAGGTGTGGGCAGGGGTGGACAAGGTAGGATAAGGTTCCTCCAGGTACTGTACCCGTAGACTTTGTACAAGAGGAGCACACCCAAGTTAAGCGAGTTGCTGACTCCGATGCCACAGTATCATCATCTGCTGTATCTCTCTCTTAAACATAAAATTATTATTATTATTATTATTATTTTCCTCTGCATTTTGTCTTATTTCTGCATTAAGATTGAAGCAGCTGACTCTTTAAAAGTTCCCTCCTTCCGCAAAAGGCGGAAGGCGGGCCCCTGCACCTAGGCAACCAGCGTCCAATCAAAAGTGCACACTGGTGCTCCCACTTGGAGTTTATTTGTAAGCAAATACCACTCACTCTCAAGCGGCATGGTCCTATTGGATTACTTCGGTTATAACGCAGAGTGCAGACTGATGTGCAGCAACAGACTAAGCCTAGATACATGACAGGGGTGAAAACTTTAAACAGCTGATTATGACTTCCCGAAATGGCGTACTGCTGCGTAATGGCTTACTTTCACCTCCAGGTGAGAGAAAGACCCGCAGATTAAGCAGGAAAAAGCTTGATGCTCGGTGAATTGTTAACTGATTAGAGCCAGGTCGACTACGGACTGATCAAGTCTTTGGCTGAATCTTTGAATGTACTTAGCAGCTTTGCTGAAAATGATTTGTAATGTTCCTAGAATAATGATCCTCCCTATGTCATGGCTGAATCAGAAATAATGGCGAGATATGTGTCCAGTTCAGTTCTGCGTGCTGAAAACAATTTACATATGACATCTACAAATACGCTGAAAGCTATAAATTCAGCCAAGGTCGGAGATTTAAACAGCCGGGCATCACGATATTTAAGCATCACAGGCTCATCTCCGCAATCCACAATGCGTCTATCATTGTAGTCTGAGCACAGCAAGACTAATGTCAGTACCTGCAAGGATTTGGCTCCGCGGATTAGGTGTAATTGCAGCCGCGACCAGGTCGCGTCGCGTGGTGCTCTGGTGTGTTCACACCGGGTCCAAAGCTGCGGTCGCAAGACACGGCTGGTCGCTGCTGACCCGCTTCTCCTACCTTCCATCTCCCTCCTTTTCTCCCTCATATATACATCCCGCAGCCCAGTTCAAATATTTGAACTTTGGGAGCGATGAGACTTGGCGTCCTGCGACCTCGGCAACGCGACGCAGGTAGCCAGCGGTCGCCAAGTCGCGTCAGGTCGCGGCTGTCCATAGACTTTGCATTGGGAGCCATCGCCGACGTCACCGAAGTAGCGTTTGGTCTGAACACCCCTTAACGCTAAGCTTCATATTTGGGTATTGGTTGACTTGAGTTTCTGTGTTTGTTGAACTTGAGTTTGTGACATGTTTGAACTTGAATTTGTGGTGTTTTTGAACTTGAGTTTGTGTGTTTGTTGAACTTGAGTTTTAGGCGTGTTTGAACTTGAGTTTGTGTTGTTTTTGAAGTTGAGGTTTTGGCAAATGTTAAACTTGAGATTTGGGTGTTGGTTGAACTTGAGTTTGTGTCGTATTTGAACTTGATTTTTTTGCAATTTTTGAACTTGAGTTTGTTGAACTTGAGGTTGTGGAAATTGTTAAACTTGAGAATTGGGTATTGATTGAACTTGAGTTTGTGTGTTTGTTGAACTTCAGTTTGTCTCGTGTTTGAACTTGAGTTTCTGTTGTTTTTGAACTTGAGGTTGTGGCAATAGTTAAACTTGAGATTTTGGTGTTGGTTGTAATGAGACAACTGCTTTCTGCTATCCACCTTGAATTCACCCCTCAAAGGAATGCAGGCTCCCCTGGTTTGGACAGGAAATGGGGGAGTAACGGTTTGCACACCAAGTTCCCATTTACGACCCAAGAAACCATTGGGGAGGTGATAGTGAATCTTTAATGCTTCCCAAAAGGACAAGTTGCTTATCAACCACACAGACCCATAAACACGGAGCCTTTCTCCCTGGCTGGGAAAGATCAGAATTGACACTTCAGGATTAACCATTGACCTAAAAGGAAAACAAAGCATTTGGCGCCAAGTCTGAAAAACCAGATACCTGCCATAAAATCTCCATGGCTTTCTTTACTGAGCAGAAGGAGGGGGATGCCTGAAAATTGTTTAACTTCATGTTTAATGGACATGTCACCAGAATTTTCTGTCTGCACACCACATTCTTAATGAAATGGTCTTTTTCCCAATTTTGTAGCATATCCACAAGCCAAACTGTTAACTTCACAAATTTATTCCAGGTTTTCCATGGATCAAGAGCTCCTCCTAGTGGTGATGCCTGAATATGGTTTGATCAGAGCCAAATGGCAGGAATCTAATCACGTGTATTTCTTTCCTTTTGTTATACACTTCGTAGCTTAGTAAATGGTATTCCCAAGATAGGCTAGTAGTTTAGAAGTAGTAACGTGAAACTCGTTTAGACTCAAGTCAAGAGTTTCTGAATGTATCCATACTATGTTTTGTCTACCTCACACAAATATATATTAATCATCTAGGAAGCTTGATTGACAAAGGTTATAGTGTTGTCAAATATTATCACGTATGTGTTTCTTATGCTGGATGGTGTTTCTGTTCAAATAGATAATTTGTTTTCTGTCCCTCTCTAACTTTTAAAAGTCGTTAATCCTCTGTTAGTGTCAAGAAGACGGCTGATCAAAGTTTACTGTTTCAATGTCATGCTTTAATGCGTCTGCTCATAAGAAACAATGAAGTGAAATGTGATCGTATGTGATGTTACAAACAGTTTAATCATAGTGAGTGAGTAAATCAGATCTAGCTCGCTTTTAATATCAAGTTGAGTTAAATTCGCTGCCAGTCGATGTGCTGCATCGGGTTACAGCATTGGCTGTAACTTTCCTCTTGGCTCACGCCCACACGGGATGGTTTAAAAAGAGCCCGGGAGTCTTTGCTCTTTCTTCAGTTTTTCTCTTCCGTTTTTGTCTCGTCTGTGTTTAGTTCTCTCTTGTTTCGTTTCTTCTTCGTTTTTCTCTTCGTCTATCGTTCGCAATTTTCCCCGCGTTTTATTAATTGCCTTAAGCTCAGATTTTTCTTCTAAACTTGGGTGAAACATTCCCAAGTCCCTTTAAAGCCTCAGTAACAAGCTGCGCGCATAAGAGAACCTCAGTCTAAGTCTTTTTATTTTTGTTCGCTAAAGTGACTCCTGAAGATAATATCGGCTGGCCAGCGAAATTATTTTCTTAAGTTATTGGCGCGAATTAATCTGCAACCAAGCTACTCCTGAACGCCGACCAGCATCATCTGCCAAGCTGCTTTGCCACCTGGTTCCGAGAGGCCCAGAGATCCGAAGTATCTAACGGCGCTGACACGGTCCTGAAGCTGAGATCCAGACACGGCGGAAGAACTCCCCGCCGAACCTTCAGTATCCGGTCCGGTAGCCACAGAACTTCAGCTGATCCATTCCAAGGGTGCCGCTGAGAACTGACGTCCAAAGTAGGCTAAATCCTCGAAACTGCTGTGATGAGAATTGGGTGATGCCGTCAACCGTTCAGTAGCTTACTCTCATAAGTTAGAGTTTAGTTCTCCAAATTCCTTTCAATTTACCCTCGTAACTCCGTTAACGTAGGTTAAATTTCCCCTTTATTCACTCAATATTATTAACCTCCAGTCTTAGGTTTAATTTAAACCATTCCTTCGTTTATTCATTAGATGTGCTTTGATTTGCTCATTATTTGCTCATCATTTATTGACGTTTTGTTATCATATAGCTTGTTAATAAATTGTCCATTTAATTTTAAGTTGTCGTCTTAGTGGTCTTTCAGAAAGTAGTCCCTGAATGAAGAATTCCGGCCTCGGATGAGAGACTGATTTAAATCTGTTTAAGACTGATCCAACGTTTAATTACTCAATTGAACTTTGTTTCGTCCTTTTCCCACCAGAAAGGTGGGTGGTGCCCCTTCAACGAGTGCATAAATGTCATTATTTAATTTGATTAATTCTCGACATTTATTTTGAATTTGAAATCGCTACATGGTTGAACTTGAGTTTGTGTCATGTTTGAACTTGAGTTTGTGGTGTTTTTGAACTTGAGTATGTGTGGTTTTTTAACTTAGTTTTGTGGCAATTGTTAAACTTGAGATTTGGGTGTTGGTTGAACTTGGGTTTGTGGTGTTTTTGAACATGAGTTTGTGTCTTTGTTGAACTTGAGTTTGTGGCGTGTTTTAACTTGAGTTTCTGTTGTTTTTGAACTTGAGGTTGTGGCAATTGTTGAACTTGAGATTTGGGATTTGGTTGAACTTGAGTTTGTGTCATGTTTGAACTTGAGTTTGTGGTGTTTTTGAACTTGAGTTTGTGTGGTTTTTTAACTTAGTTTTGTGGCAATTGTTAAACTTGAGATTTGGGTGTTGGTTGAACTTGGGTTTGTGGTGTTTTTGAACTTGAGTTTGTGTCTTTGTTGAACTTGAGTTTGTGGCGTGTTTTAACTTGAGTTTCTGTTGTTTTTGAACTTGAAGTTGTGGAAATTGTTGAACTTGAGATTTGGGATTTGGTTGAACTTGACTTTGTTTCATGTTTGAACTTGAGTTTGGGGTGTTTTTGAACTTGAACTTGTGTGTTTTTTGAACTTGAGTTTGTGTTGTTAAGAACTTGAGTTTGTGGTGTTTTTGAAATTGAGTTTGTGTGTTTGTTGAACTTGAGGTTGTGGCAATTGTTAAACTTGATATTTGGGTGTTGGTTGAACTTCAAACTTTGGAATTTGTTGATCTTGAGTTTGTGGTGTTCGTTGAATTCAGTTTCAGCATTTTTTTAACTTGAGTTTGTGTGTTTTTGAACTTGAGTTTGTGGCAATTTTTGAACTTGAGTTTGTTGAACTTGAGTTTTTGGCAATTGTTAAATGTGAGTTTAGGTCATTTGTTGAACTTGAGTTTGTGGCAATTGTTGAACTTGAGTCTGTATTTTTCACTGAACTTTAGTTTGTAGCGTTTGTTGTACTTGAGTTTGTGGCGTTTGTTGTAATTGAGTTTGTGTCTTGTTTGAACTTGAGTTGGGGGTGTTTTTGAACTTTAGGTTGTGGCAATTGTTGAACTTGAGGATTGTGTGTTTGTTGAACTTGAGTTTGTGGCGTGTTTGAACTTGAGTTTCTGTTGTTTTTGAACTTGAGGTTGTTGAAATTGTTAAACTTGAGATTTGGGTTTTGGTTGAACTTAAAACTTTTACATCTGTTGAACTTGAGTTTGTGGCGTGTTTGAACTTGAGTTTCTGTTGTTTTTGAACTTGCGGTTTTGGATATTGTTTAATTTGAGATTTGAGTGTTGGTTGAACTTGACTTTGTCATGTTTGAACTTGAGTTTGTGTGTTTTTTGAACTTAAGTTTTCTGTCAATTGTTGAACTTGAGTTTATGGTTTTTAGTGAACTTTACTTGGTGGCAGTTGTTGAACTTGAGTTTGTGGGGTTTGTTGAACTTGAGCATGTGTCGTGATTGAACTTGAGTTTGAGGGGTTTGTTGAACTTGACTTTGTCATGTTTGAACTTGAGTTTGTGGTGTTTTTGAACTAGAGTTTGTGTGTTTTTTGAACTTAAGTTTTCTGTCAATTGTTGAACTTGAGTTTATGGTTTTTAGTGAACTTTACTTGGTGGCAGTTGTTGAACTTGAGTTTGTGGGGTTTGTTGAACTTGAGCATGTGTCGTGATTGAACTTGAGTTTGAGGGGTTTGTTGAACTTGAGTTTGTTTCGTGTTTGAACTTGAGTTTGTGGTGTTTTTGAACTTGAGTCTGTGTTGCTTTTGAACTTGAGGTTGTGGAAATTGTTAAACTTGAGAATTGGGTATTGGCTGAACTTGAGTTTTTGAACTTGAGTTTGTGTCATGTTTGAACTTGAGTTTGTGTGTTTGAACTTGAGTTTCTGTTGTTTTTGAACTTGAGGTTGTGGCAATTGTTAAACTTGTGGCAATTGTTAAGATTTGGGTGTTGGTTGAACTTGAGTTTGTGTCGTGTTTGATCTTGAGTTCTTGTTGTTTGTTGAACTTGAGTTTGTGTGTTTTTTGAACTTGAGTTTTTGTCATGTTTGAACTTGAGTTTGTGGTGTTTTTGAACTTAGGTTTGTGGCAATTGTTAAACTTGAGATTTGGGTGTTGGTTGAACTTGGGTTTGTGGTGTTTTTGAACTTGAGTTTGTGTCTTTGTTGAACTTGAGTTTGTGGCGTGTTTTAACTTGAGTTTCTGTTGTTTTTGAACTTGAGGTTGTGGAAATTGTTGAACTTGAGATTTGGGATTTGGTTGAACTTGACTTTGTTTCATGTTTGAACTTCAGTTTGGGGTGTTTTTGAACTTGAGCTTGTGTGTTTTTTGAACTTGAGTTTGTGTTGTTAAGAACTTGAGTTTGTGGTGTTTTTGAACTTGAGGATTGTGTGTTTGTTGAACTTGAATTTGTCTCGTGTTTGAACTTGAGTTTCGGTTGTTTTTGAACTTGAGGTTGTGGAAATTGTTAAACTTGAGATTTGGGTTTTGGTTGAACTTAAAACTTTTACATTTGTTGAACTTGAGTTTGTGGCGTGTTTGAACTTGAGTTTCTGTTGTTTTTGAACTTGCGGTTTTGGATATATTTTAATTTGAGATTTGAGTGTTGGTTGAACTTGACTTTGTCATGTTTGAACTTGAGTTTGTGGTGTGTTTGAACTTGAGTTTGTGTGTTTTGTTGAACTTAAGGTTGTTGCAATTTTTAAACTTGAGATTTGGGAATTTGTTAAACTTGAGTTATTGTGTTTGTTGAACTTGAGTTCGTGTCGTGTTTGAACTTGAGTTTGTGGTGTTTTTGAACTTGAGTTTGTGTGTTTGTTGAACTTGAGTTTGTGTTGTGTTTGAACTTGAGTTTGTGTTGTTTTTGAGCTTGAGTGTGTGGTATTTTTGAACTTGAGTTTATGATATTTTTGAACTTGAGGTTGTGGAAATTGTTTAACTTGAGAATTGAGTATTGTTTGAACTTGAGTTTTTTTGTTTTTGAACTTGAGTTTGTGTCGTGTTTAAACTTGAGTTTGTCGTGTGTTTGAACTTGAGTTTGTGTGTTTTTTGAACTTGAGGTTGTGGCAATTGTTAAACTTGAGATTTGGGTGATCGTTGAACTTGAGTTTGTGCCGTGTTTGAACTTTAGTTAATGTTGTTTGTTTAACTTGAGTTTGTCTGTTTTTTTAACTTGAGGTTTTGAAATTTTTTAAACTTGAGATTTGGGTATTGGTTGAACTTGAGTTAGTGTGTTTGTTGAACTTGAGTTCGTGTCGTGTTTGAACTTGAGTTTTTAGTGTTTTTGAACTTGAGTCTGTGTGTTTTTTTAACTTTAATTTGTGTTGTGTTTGAACGTGAGTTTGTGGTGTTTTTGAACTTGTGTTTGTTTCATGTTTGAACTTGAGTTTGTGGCGTTTGTTGAACTTGAGTTTGTGGTGTTTGTTGAACTTGAGTTTGTGTCATGTTTGAACTTGAGTTTGTAGTGTGTTTGACCATGAGTTTGTGGTGTGTTTGAACTTAAGTTTGTGTGTTTGTTGAACTTGAGGTTGTGGCAATTTTCAAGCTTGAGATTTGGATGTTGGTTGAACTTGAGTTTGTGTGTTTTTTGAATTTGAGTTCGTGTTGTTTGTTGAACTTGAGTTTGTGAAAATTTTTAAACTTGAGAATCAGGTGTTGGTTGAACTTGAGTTTGTGGTTTTTGGTAGACCAGAGTTTGTGTCGTGTTTGAACTTGAGTTTGTGGTGTTTTTGAACTTGAGTTTGTTTCGTGTTTGAACTTGAGTTTGTGGCATTTGTTGAACTTGAGTTTGTGAAAATTTTTAAAATTGATAATAAGGTGTTGGTTGAACTTGAGTTTGTGTGTTTTTTGAACTTGAGTTTCTGTTGTTTTTGAACTTGAGGTTGTGGAAATGGTAAAACTTGAGAATCAGGTGTTGGTTGAACTTGAGTTGCGTGTTTGGTGAATTTGAGTTTGTATTGTCGTTGTACTTGAGTTTTGTTGTTTTTGAACTTGAGGTTGTGGAAATTGTTAAACTTGAGAATCAGGTGTTGGTTGAACTTGAGTTTGTGTGTTTGTTGAACTTGAGTTTGTGTCGTGTTTGAACTTGAGTTTGTGTCGTTTTTGAACTATAGTTTGTGTGTTTGTTGAACTTGAGTTTGTGTTGTGTTTGAACTTGAGATTGTGTGATTATTGAACTTGAGTTTCTGTTGTTTTTGAACTTGAGGTTTTGGAAAAGGTTAAACTTGAGAATCAGGTTTTGGTTGAACTTGAGTTGCGTGTTTGGTGAACTTGAGTTTGTATTGTCTTTGAACTTGAGTTTTTGTGTTTGAACTTTTTTGGTGTTTTTGAACTTGTGTTTGTGTGTTTTTGAACTTGAGTTTGTGGTGTTTTTGAACTTAAGTTTGTTTCGTGTTTGAACTTGAGTTCTTGTCATGTTTGAACTTGAGTTTGTGGTGTTTTTGAACTTGAGTTTGTGGTGTGTTTGAACTTGAGTTTGTGTGTTTTGTTGAACTTAAGGTTGTTGCAATTTTTAAACTTGAGATTTGGGAATTTGTTAAACTTGAGTTATTGTTTTGTTGAACTTGAGTTCGTGTCGTGTTTGAACTTGAGTATGTGTGTTTGTTGAACTTGAGTTTGTCTCGTGTTTGAACTTGAGTTTCTGTTGTTTTTGAACTTGAGGTTGTGGAAATGGTTAAACTTGAGAATCAGGTGTTGGTTGAACTTGAGTTGCGTGTTTGTTGAACTTGAGTTTGTGCCGTGTTTGAACTGGAGTTTGTGTCGTTTTTGATCTTGAGTTTGTGTGTTTGTTGAACTTGAGTTTGTGTTGTGTTTGAACTTGAGTTTGTCTCGTGTTTGAACTTGAGTTTGTGTTGTGTTTGGTGAACTTGAGATTGTGTGATTATTGAACTTGAGTTTCTGTTGTTTTTGAACTTGAGGTTGTGGAAAAGGTTAAACTTGAGAATCAGGTTTTGGTTGAACTTGAGTTGCGTGTTTGGTGAACTTGAGTTTGTATAGTCTTTGAACTTGAGTTTTTGGTGTTTTTGAACTTGTGTTTGTGTGTTTTTGAACTTGAGTTTGTGTGTTTGTTGAACTTGAGTTTGTGTTTTTTTTAACTTGAGTTTGTGGTGTTTTTGAACTTGACTTTGTTTCGTTTTTGAACTTGAGTTTGTGGCATTTGTTGAACTTGACTTTGTGTTGTGTTTGTACTTTAGTTTTTGGTGTTTTTGAACTTGAGTTTCTGTTTTTTTTTAACTTGAGGTTGTGGAAATTGCTAAACTTGAGAATTGGGTATTGGTTGAACTTGAGTTTTTTGTGTTTTTGAACTTGAGTTTGTGTTGTTTTTGAATTGAGTTTGTGGTGTTTTTGAACTTGAATTTGGGTATTTGGTGAACTTGAGTTTGTGTGTTTTTTGAACTTGAGTTTCTGTTTTTTTTTACTTGAAGTTGTGGAAATTGTTAAACCTTAGAATCAGGTGTTGGTTGAACTTGAGTTTGTGTGTTTCTTGAACTTGAGTTTGTGTCGTGTTTGAACTTGAGTTTGTGGTGATTTTGAACTTGAGTTTGTGGTGTTTTTTAACTTCAGTTTGTTTTGTGTTTGAACTTGAGTTCGTGTCGTGTTTGAACTTGAGTTTGTGGTGTTTTTGAACTTGAGGTTGTTGAAATTGTTAAACTTGAGAATTGGGTATTGGTTGAACTTGAGTTTGTGATTTTGTTGAACTTGAGTTTGTGTCGTGTTTTAACTTGAGTTTGTGATGTTTTTGAATTTGAGTTTGTGTGTTGGTTGAACTTGAGTTTGTGTTGTGTTTGACCTTGAGTTTGTGGTGTTTTTGAACTTGAGTTTGTTTCGTGTTTGAACTTGAGTTTGTGTTGTGTTTGACCTTGAGTTTGTGGTGTTTTTGAACTTGAGTTTGTGGTGTGTTTGAACTTGAGTTTGTGTGTTTTGTTGAACTTAAGGTTGTTGCAATTTTTAAACTTGAGATTTGGGAATTGGTTAAACTTGAGTTATTGTGTTTGTTGAACTTGAGTTCGTGTCGTGTTTGAACTTGAGTTTGTGGTGTTTTTGAACTTGAGTTTGTGTGTTTGTTGAACTTGAGTTTGTGTTGTGTTTGAACTTGAGTTTGTGTTGTTTTTGAGCTTGAGTGTGTGGTGTTTTTGAACTTGAGTTTATGATATTTTTGAACTTGAGGTTGTGGAAATTGTTTAACTTGAGAATTGAGTATTGTTTGAACTTGAGTTTTTTTGTTTTTGAACTTGAGTTTGTGTCGTGTTTAAACTTGAGTTTGTCGTGTGTTTGAACTTGAGTTTGTGTGTTTTTTGAACTTGAGGTTGTGGCAATTGTTAAACTTGAGATTTGGGTGATCGTTGAACTTTAGTTTGTGTCGTGTTTGAACTTAAGTTAATGTTGTTTGTTTAACTTGAGTTTGTCTGTTTTTTTAACTTGAGGTTTTGAAATTTTTTAAACTTGAGATTTGGGTATTGGTTGAACTTGAGTTAGTGTGTTTGTTGAACTTGAGTTCGTGTCGTGTTTGAACTTGAGTTTTTAGTGTTTTTGAACTTGAGTCTGTGTGTTTTTTTAACTTTAATTTGTGTTGTGTTTGAACGTGAGTTTGTGGTGTTTTTGAACTTGTGTTTGTTTCATGTTTGAACTTGAGTTTGTGGCGCTTGTTGAACTTGAGTTTGTGGTGTTTGTTGAACTTGAGTTTGTGTCATGTTTGAACTTGAGTTTGTAGTGTGTTTGACCATGAGTTTGTGGTGTGTTTGAACTTAAGTTTGTGTGTTTGTTGAACTTGAGGTTGTGGCAATTTTCAAGCTTGAGATTTGGATGTTGGTTGAACTTGAGTTTGTGTGTTTTTTGAATTTGAGTTCGTGTTGTTTGTTGAACTTGAGTTTGTGAAAATTTTTAAACTTGAGAATCAGGTGTTGGTTGAACTTGAGTTTGTGGTTTTTGGTAGACCAGAGTTTGTGTCGTGTTTGAACTTGAGTTTGTGGTGTTTTTGAACTTGAGTTTGTTTCGTGTTTGAACTTGAGTTTGTGGCATTTGTTGAACTTGAGTTTGTGAAAATTTTTAAACTTGAGAATCAGGTGTTGGTTGAACTTGAGTTTGTGTGTTTTTTGAACTTGAGTTTCTGTTGTTTTTGAACTTGAGGTTGTGGAAATGGTAAAACTTGAGAATCAGGTGTTGGTTGAACTTGAGTTGCGTGTTTGGTGAATTTGAGTTTGTATTGTCTTTGTACTTGAGTTTTTGTTGTTTTTGAACTTGAGGTTGTGGAAATTGTTAAACTTGAGAATCAGGTGTTGGTTGAACTTGAGTTTGTGTGTTTGTTGAACTTGAGTTTGTGTCGTGTTTGAACTTGAGTTTGTGTCGTTTTTGAACTATAGTTTGTGTGTTTGTTGAACTTGAGTTTGTGTTGTGTTTGAACTTGAGTTTGTGTGTATTTTGAACTTGAGTTTGTTTCGTGTTTGGTGAACTTGAGATTGTGTGATTATTGAACTTGAGTTTCTGTTGTTTTTGAACTTGAGGTTTTGGAAAAGGTTAAACTTGAGAATCAGGTTTTGGTTGAACTTGAGTTGCGTGTTTGGTGAACTTGAGTTTGTATTGTCTTTGAACTTGAGTTTTTGGTGTTTTTGAACTTGTGTTTGTGTGTTTTTGAACTTGAGTTTGTGTGTTTGTTGAACTTGAGTTTGTGTTGTGTTTGACCTTGAGTTTGTGGTGTTTTTGAACTTAAGTTTGTTTCGTGTTTGAACTTGAGTTCTTGTCATGTTTGAACTTGAGTTTGTGGTGTTTTTGAACTTGAGTTTTTGGTGTGTTTGAACTTGAGTTTGTGTGTTTTGTTGAACTTAAGGTTGTTGCAATTTTTAAACTTGAGATTTGGGAATTTGTTAAACTTGAGTTATTGTGTTTGTTGAACTTGAGTTCGTGTCGTGTTTGAACTTGAGTTTGTGGTGTTTTTGAACTTGAGTTTGTGTGTTTGTTGAACTTGAGTTTGTGGTGTGTTTGAACTTGAGTTTGTGTTGTTTTTGAGCTTGAGTGTGTGGTGTTTTTGAACTTGAGTTTATGATATTTTTGAACTTGAGGTTGTGGAAATTGTTTAACTTGAGAATTGAGTATTGTTTGAACTTGAGTTTTTTTGTTTTTGAACTTGAGTTTGTGTCGTGTTTTAACTTGAGTTTGTCGTGTGTTTGAACTTGAGTTTGTGTGTTTTTTGAACTTGAGGTTGTGGCAATTGTTAAACTTGAGATTTGGGTGGTCGTTGAACTTTAGTTTGTGTCGTGTTTGAACTTTAGTTAATGTTGTTTGTTTAACTTGAGTTTGTCTGTTTTTTTAACTTGAGGTTTTGAAATTTTTTAAACTTGAGATTTGGGTATTGGTTGAACTTGAGTTAGTGTGTTTGTTGAACTTGAGTTCGTGTCGTGTTTGAACTTGAGTTTTTAGTGTTTTTGAACTTGAGTCTGTGTGTTTTTTTAACTTTAATTTGTGTTGTGTTTGAACGTGAGTTTGTGGTGTTTTTGAACTTGTGTTTGTTTCATGTTTGAACTTGAGTTTGTGGCGTTTGTTGAACTTGAGTTTGTGGTGTTTGTTGAACTTGAGTTTGTGTCATGTTTGAACTTTAGTTTGTGTCGTGTTTGACCATGAGTTTGTGGTGTGTTTGAACTTAAGTTTGTGTGTTTGTTGAACTTGAGGTTGTGGCAATTTTCAAGCTTGAGATTTGGATGTTGGTTGAACTTGGGTTTGTGTGTTTTTTGAATTTGAGTTCGTGTTGTTTGTTGAACTTGAGTTTGTGGAAATTTTTAAACTTGAGAATCAGGTGTTGGTTGAACTTGAGTTTGTGGTTTTTGGTAGACCCGAGTTTGTGTCGTGTTTGAACTTGAGTTTGTGGTGTTTTTGAACTTGAGTTTGTTTCGTGTTTGAACTTGAGTTTGTGGCATTTGTTGAACTTGAGTTTGTGAAAATTTTTAAACTTGAGAATCAGGTGTTGGTTGAACTTGAGTTTGTGTGTTTTTTGAACTTGAGTTTCTGTTGTTTTTGAACTTGAGGTTGTGGAAATGGTAAAACTTGAGAATCAGGTGTTGGTTGAACTTGAGTTGCGTGTTTGGTGAACTTGAGTTTGTATTGTCTTTGTACTTGAGTTTTTGTTGTTTTTGAACTTGAGGTTGTGGAAATTGTTAAACTTGAGAATCAGGTGTTGGTTGAACTTGAGTTTGTGTGTTTGTTGAACTTGAGTTTGTGTCGTGTTTGAACTTGAGTTTGTGTGTTTGTTGAACTTGAGTTTGTGTGTTTATTGAACTTGAGTTTGTGTTGTGTTTGAACTTGAGTTTGTGTGTATTTTGAACTTGAGTTTGTTTCGTGTTTGGTGAACTTGAGATTGTGTGATTATTGAACTTGAGTTTCTGTTGTTTTTGAACTTGAGGTTTTGGAAAAGGTTAAACTTGAGAA